CGGGAAAAGAAGGTAACATACGAGTAATGGTAAATTATCACCCTCAAAAGAGAGGTTGGTACTAAGCACTGAGGGAGCGGGGGCTGTCGTTCCCCTCCACAGCCTTGGCTGATGCCACAGGGGCTTGGGAGTGCGCTCTCATCCGCAGCATCCCACCACGGCTCTCACAAGGTAAATGCTTATTTTCATAATGTGGTCCTGCAGGAACGTGTCACGCTGCAAATGGGGCCCTTGCGCGACATCTCTAAGCCAGCATTAATCTCGCACCACTAGATCTCAATATGGTTTTCAGTTCAGGAGATAATTCTTTGGTCACATAGTCTGCCCAGCACTGCGAGGTGACGCCTGAATGGCAGTGAAGCGTGGAGGACTTCTCTGCAGGCATTACCTCTGCATACTCACAGTCAGGTGGCTGTCCTCTCTCCCTGGTATTTGTCATTTCAGATTTCCACGCAAGCGGAGGAGAACTAAAGAAGTTCAGACTAAATTCAAGCCCTTGCATGGAACCCGCAGCATTTCACAGCTGTGTGATTCGGGGAAGGTGACATGCTGGTTGAGTGCAGGGACTTCTGGGACTCTGAAAGATAGCGTGGCTGAACCACTCGGAGCAAAGTCACCCCCAGTCAAACCCACCTCGGCTCAGCTGACACCTTTTTATCAGTGCTGTGCCAGAGAGCTTGTACGTCACGCACAAATCCTTGGAAAGAGCCACAGGAACCTCAGGGAGAGGGAGCTGGAGGGTTAGTTGCTCTTTTACTTGTGTAAAGGATCATTACAAAGAGTGGTGAAAAGGCTTGGATACTGAGCCAGGAGCTCGTTGATTGGATAAATTACCAATGGGAACACTTTCAGGTGCTTCCTTTTATACCGCTTTGCCAAGACTTCTGCTCTGAGAACTCCTTAGGAACGGGGATTACTGTTAGACTGGTCAGTCTGCCAGAGTCTGGTAAACAAGCTGCATCTCAACATGAAGTATTGAGTTCGCTGCACCACACACCTATTTTCAGAGTCACTGTTCAGATTTAGAAATTGCATGACAAGATTTTTTTAGTTTCTTGGCCAGAATAGGGAGAGGGGCTGTCTACATACGCACTTCAGCTCCCCTGCGGTACAGTTTAGCCTCTAGAGCACCTGCACGCAGCACCAACACACCAGAGATGAAGGCTCGTAGAGTATCGTGGCAGGTGCTTGAGTTCATGTCAAGCTCCTTCAGTGCAAAGAAATCTTAAATGTTAAGGGAGTGGGGAAAAGGAGTGTGAATGTGGCTCTGCACAGGTAACAGTCTGAGAAGTGTTTCTGCTTCAAAATGGTTGCATGTCCCTGCTCTGAGATATCACTAAGAGTTCATTGATCTCAGCGGTGGGTAGCAAGAGTAGCAGCTTTCCTCCTTTATTTATGGTTCAGTTGATCCATTAGTCCTATCTGGACTTCAGAGATCTTTTCACGTGCCTCCTGGAAATGTTCCTTCCTTAAGTTTTTCTCCAGTTTGCTGACTGCACTGCACAGCCCACACAACCAAAGAGATATTTTTATGTGGTCGTGTTATATGTCATTTGGTTGCATTATTCCTAGCTCTAGGCTAGTGCTCCTAGCACTGTATTTTCATTTGGCTCTATCACCGCAGAGGCCGTTTTTCCTCCGTGTACTTTTGTCTATCAGCTTTTTGGAAACAGGAACAACACATAAAAAATGCAGTAAATTTTGCAGTTTATTTCTTAATCGTTTAGAAAATGTCTCAGGATGTGTATCTGTTTTTTAAACATTCCTCCCATTTTGTGTATCCCAGCTTCATTTTACTCTAGAAATCACAGGTTCTCACCTATTTCCAAATAGCCCCTGGCAAGAATTGAGGAAATTGTATCAGAACAGCAATTAAACTGTCTTTAACAGTAATTAAACATTAAACTGTCACTGGAGGTGTAACCCCTCTCCATAGTCAGGTGAAAGGGGAGCAGACACTGAACAGTCCTTGCACTGCGGCAGGCAAAACACTTGCACAACCTGTTGAGTTTTGGCAGGCAGCTCTTGGGGCTCTCAGTCTAGGAGCTGGAATCAGCCAAGATCAAATGACACAAATGAACAAAATGGGGGAGGTGGAGAGACAGCAAAAGGCAAAGTACAAGGATGAAATGCCTTATCTGCACGACTTAGAGCGAAAAAACCAGCAAGGCAGATTTATCTGTTGAGCAGCTCTAATCCAAGGAGTTGCTCTGGGGAGGTGCTTTGTCCTGCAGGCATAGAAGGGCCCAAAATGCCACTGGTCACTGCACACACAGCTTCATTGGGAGAGTGAACCTACAGTTCAGATGGGCTTAGAGCAGACAGAGGAGACTATGGGAAAAACAATTTAAAATCTCCTCCTGTCACCACAACCGTGCTGGAGTGGGGTGGTAGCCGATCTGTGTGTTTATCCTTTGTGACACTGGCAGCGGAGGAGCACCAGGCAACGAGTTCCGAACGTAGTTCCAACTTGTTTTTGAAGGCAGCCATCCTTGCAAGAGCACACAATGGGTGACATTTAAGGAGCTTGTGCCTTATTCAAACAAGCAGAGAATTGGCTCAAGACTCTCTTACATGAAGCTCTTGCACTGCAAGTATCATAAATAAGGAAAAAAAAAAAAAGACACTTTATTTGCTTTGGCTCATGCAGTGTTCCCCAGGGCTCAGTACTGGGGCCGGTCTTGTTTAATATCTTTATCGATGATCTGGATGAGGGGATTGAGTGCACCCTCAGTAAGTTTGCAGACGACACCAAGCTGGGTGGGAGTGTTGATCTGCTCGAGGGTAGGAAGGCTCTGCAGAGGGACCTGGACAGGCTGGATCGATGGGCCCAGGCCAACTGTATGAGGTTCAACAAGGACAAGTGCCGGGTCCTGCACTTTGGCCACAACAACCCCATGCAGCGCTACAGGCTTGGGGAAGAGTGGCTGGAAAGCTGCCTGTCGGAAAAGGGCCTGGGGGTGCTGGTGGAC